AAAAAAGGTTTAGGACTAAATTGGCACTAATGCAAAAGGTTTAGGACTTTTTTGGCACTTTTCCCGATAATTTTCGAATGTGGTCCTTCCAGCTAATTTTTGTCAGAAATCATTGACGTGGATAATGACCATCTTATGTGGCACGATCGGTGCTAATATGGACGATTTTCTATTTTTTTTATTTTATGAATTTTTTTCCCTTCATTTTCTTTCCTTTCTCTTTTTTTTTTTCCAATTTTCCTCGATTAGTGTCCACATCAGCAATTTCCTACCAATGAACTATAATAGCAAATCGCCAAAAGGTTTTATGACTAAATTGACCAAATTTAAAAAATTTAGGACTAAATTGGCTATCGTATAATAGGTTTAAGGCTTTTTGGACAAGATTTCCTATTTAATGTTGTAGTAACATGATGACCGCGTTGGAAGTAAAAAAACCACTTGTGAGCGTGGACAAGCAACGTTCATCACATATGGCTTGTTAATATCTTCATTATATAATTAAAAATAACGAACGCCTATACAAAAAAAATCGGATCATTTTTGTTTCTTTATCCAAACCGGTGTGTTTTTAGTGAGGCGGTATCGCTCGCAGGAATTGGATTGCTGGCACTCCACATGCGAACGCAACGCAACACCCCTTTGCATGCGATGCTTCGACCGCCCGAGACGGCGCACCGTGCGGCAATGAAACGGTAGAGTTCATGCATGTGGTGCTCACGTTGGCATTTTATCGTCACGCTAATTTTTTTGTAAAATCCTCGAAACGGCAACGCCAATCGTGCGCTTTCACCAATCATTTGACAATCGGTGCGTGGAAGTCAGCCGTGAGAAATGGTGCTGCCTTGCCCTAAATCTCCATTCTCTTGGTCTAATCAAATTATGTTTAGCACGATGCACATGACTGAATTAACGAGATAGTTAGTGATCCATGTACCAGCACGAGGATGGTATGAGCCCAGCAATTTGTGTATTATGGATGAATTGATATAACTTGGTGATCGGTTGAAGAGGTAACCTCATTAAAAGGAAGGAGCCGAAACTCTTATAGCAGCCTCCGCATCCGGTCTCTATCTTATGAGACGGGTTCTACAAATACGTTCTTTATTTAACGTGTCGATATTCGCACGCTTTGCACCTCTAATTTCCCCCGTATCTTTATCTTTTCCCAAAAAATGAAATACCCTCTAGGAGTTTTACATCTCGATAATCCCGAGATCCGGATGAGAATCGAGACGAAGCATGTTAAAGACTTGCTAACTCCTTGGCATGTAGGAACCAAAAAAGGATATAGAGAAACTTTGAAGATAATGGTGAAAAGCACACAAATACACAAACGAGAGAGAATAATATTCAAAATGCCTTTTGCACAGGCTTTACACAGAGGAATACAAGCTTAGCTCTACAAGCTTTTTCTCACAACTCTCAACTCTCTCTTTCTATGGCTTTCCACACACATTCTTACACAAATAGGGAGGGGACAACCTATTTTATACTACTCCTAAGGAAATTTTCTTGAATACCAAGTTTGTCAAACTTGAGTACCAAGTTTGTATCATCTTGAAGACCAAGTTTGTATTAAAGACAAAAACAATTTTAATATTTCTAACAGCCTCCCTTAAAAATTGATTTTGGAAATCAACAACACCAAGCTTCGTCTTCAATTTCTCGAACAAATCCGCCTTCAATAGTTTCGTTAAAATATCTGCAATCTGATGTTCAAATCTACAGAAATCAAGTTCAATATCTCCATCTTTGACCAGCTCACGGATATAATGATACTTGATGTCTATGTGTTTGCTCCTGCCATGAAAAACAGGATTCTTGGCTAATGCAATCGCCGATTTGTTATCACACATCAATTTTGTAGGACCTTTCTGTTCATGCATCAGTTCACAAAGCATCCTACAAAGCCATATCCCTTTACATGCTGCTAAAGCTACTGCCATGTATTCTGCTTCAGTTGTTGAGAGCGCAATAACTTGTTGTTTTTTCGAGGACCAAGAAATTACTCCTGATCCGAGAAAGAACGCATATCCAGAAGTACTCTTCCGCGTTTCAGTATCTCCTGCCCAATCACTATCTGTATACCTCACTAAATTGAAATTGTCAGTGTAAGAATATAAAATTCCATGATCACGAGTTCCACTGACATACCGTAGAATTCTTTTTGCTGCCTGCAAATGTGATTGGTATGGTTTTTCCATGAACCAACTAATAATTCCCACGCCATAAGTAATATCTGGCCTAGTAGAAGTCAAATATCTTAAACTGCCAACAATACTTTTAAAATAAGTGGGATTTACTAGTTCACCGGTTCCTTCTTTCTTCAGCTCCAACCGTTCTGCAACGGGAGTTCGAATTGGCTTGAGCGATTCCATTTTCAGTCGCTTCAAAATATCAATAGCATATTTCTGCTGTGAAACAAATATGCCATCATTTGTCTGCTTCACTTCAAGACCCAGAAAATAGGACATCAATCCTAAATCTGTCATCTCGAATTTGCTAGTCATAGCCTCCCTGAATTCAGCAAACATCTTTTCACAGTTTCCTGTAAATATCAAGTCATCAACATAAAGACACACAATTATTATGTCACCGTTAGTATTTGACTTGATATACAGTGTATGCTCATGTGGGCACTTTTGAAAATCATGCTTTAATAGGTATGTGTCGATCCGCGTGTACCAAGCACGAGGTGCCTGTTTTAGCCCATACAATGCTTTCTTCAATTTGTAAACTTGATTTTCATGCCCTTTCTTCTCATAACCCTGTGGTTGCTCCACGTAGACTTCTTCTTCAAGGAACCCATTCAGAAATGCTGATTTCACATCCATTTGATGAATCTTCCAATGGTTCTGAGCTGCGAGTGCTAAGACCATCTCAATGGTATCCATTCGAGCCACTGGTGCAAATACTTCAAAATAATCAATTCTTGGCTTTTGCTTATAGCCTTTCACGACCAATTTGGCTTTGTAACGGTCCACCTGACCGTCGGATTTGTACTTTGTCTTGTACACCCACTTGACACTAATGGGCTTCTGACCAGATGGTAAAGAAGTTAGCACCCATGTGTCATTCTTTTCAATGGAGTGGATTTCTTCATCCATTGCTTGGATCCACTTTTCATCTACAGTTGCTTCATCATAGGATACAGGGTCACATTCAGCAAATAAACAAAAATTTACCATAGTTTCATCAGTGATTTCGTCACTATCACTGTCATTGTTTCTTGTGACCACATAATCCCTGAATTTTGCTGGAGTCTCTCGCAGTCACTGTGAACGACGTAATGGTGGTTCTGAAGCTGCTGTTGGTGAAGAAAATGCACCACCATTTGAAGATGATGAAGAAGATGCACCACTGGTCGAAGATGATGGAGGTTTTTCTGCATCTCCCTCCAATGATTCATCTTCGATGGTAATGTTTTTCTGGTCAACTTTTTGGTTCCAGTCCCAGGCTTCATCTTCTAAAAACTGGACATCTCTGCTGATGATTACCTTTTCAGTGACTGGGTTATACAGCTTATAACCTTTAGTTGTGTCACTGTAGCCAATGAAGATGCACTTCTCGCTTTTGTCATCCAACTTCTTCCTCCGTTCATCTGGTATATGGGGATATGCCACGCACCCAAATACTCGTAGGAACGAAACATCTGGCTTGTTGCCGCTCCAAGCCTCTTCTGGGGTTCTTTCAAGAACACTTTTTGTTGGACACCTATTTAGCACAAATACAGCACAAGCAATGGCTTCTGCCCAAAACTTCTTTGGTAAATCTTTAGCCTTTAGCATACTCCTTGCCATTTCAAAAATCGTTCTATTCTTTCTTTCTGCTATACCATTTTGTTGAGGAGTATAGCTAGCAGTCAACTGACGTTTTACTCCATGAATTTTACAGTATTTGTCAAATTCATTAGAAGTAAATTCTCCACCTCTATCCGATCTCAACGTCTTTAGATTAAAGCCACTATGTTTCTCAACATAGACTTTAAATTCTTTAAATTTGCCAAAAGCTTCTGATTTTTCTCTTAAGAAATATACCCATGTTTTTCTGGTAAAATCATCGACAAAAATTAGCATGTACCTTTTTTGTCCGACTGATTCCACCTCAACAGGGCCACATATATCTGTATGTACCAACTCCAAAGGCTGCTTGGCTCTTCTAGCTTCTCCAACTGGAAAGGATTCTCGATGCTGTTTTCCCACAAGACATCCTTCACATGGGTAGTCTGGACTGTCGATCAAAGGCATGCCAGTCACCATCTTTTTCTGGATGAGTAATTTTAGTCCACGAAAATTTAGATGACCGAATCGAAGATGCCATAGCCACTTGCTATCTTTTGCCATCGCTTGAAAGCTCAACAGAGTATTTGTCTGAAGGGACAGAGGGAACATCTGGTTCTTCGTCATCTGCGCCGTCGTGATCAACTTATTGTTTACACCTCTGATAGTGCAAACTCCATTTTCAATATTAACTTTATGACCTTTTTCGGAAAGTTGCCCAACACTAAGCAAATTCCAGAAAAGTCCTGGCACAAAGTAAACATCTGCAATAGTAACATCAGTACCATTTTTTGATTTGATATCAATGTTACCTTTGCCCAAAACGGGAATTTTTTATTTATTCCCGAAGTTGACTTCACCACGAACTGTCTCATCTAATTACGAGAATAGCTCCTTTCGGCCACACATGTGATTACTGCACCCGATATCGAGATACCAGATATTGGCATCCATGGTACTCGAGTCATCCGTTTTGCATGCTAACACCACGTTTTCATCGGCATCAACAGCATGTACACGTTTTGGCTGCTCATGCCCCATGTTTGCTCGGCATTCGGATTTGTAATGTCCGAATTTGTTACACTTAAAACACTTGACCCTTGATTTGTCACGTGTTTTATACCTTCCCGTGGAATTCGAATTTCCACCTCTACCTCGGGCACCTCCACGACCTCGGGCACCATGATGGCCTCCTCGATTTGAGTGAGCGACCCGACTCTACAATGCTTGCTCGGGATTCGAACCGATGGACTTCTGATTCATTCTTTGCTCATGCGAGCATAATGAACCCATCAACCGCTCCAACGTCATGGTTGATATATCTTGGCCTTCTTCGATCGCCGCAACAACGTAGTCAAATCTCTCAGTCAAAGACCTTAAGATTTTTTCTACAACTCGAACATCTTGGAGTTCTTCACCATTAACCTTCAGTTGGTTAACGATGGTTTGCACACGATCAAAGTACGACGAGATAGATTCAGAGTCATTCATGCGTAAAGACTCGAAATCTCCTCGAAGTGTTTGGAGCCGCACCCGCCTGACACGATCATCGCCTTTGTAGGATTTTTGCAAAATATCCCACGCTTCTTTCGCGGTCTCCGCACTCGATATTTTTTCAAATATCGTTTCATCCACGGCTTGAAAGATCGCATATAATGCTTTCTGATCTTTCTTCCGAAATTCCACCAAAGAGTCTTTCTCCGCCTTTCTTAAGGCCTCGAATTCTTCAGCATCGGCTACTTCGGTGTAGCCATTCTCCACCAAGTTCCACAAATCTTGGGATTTGAAAAGAACCTTCATCTGGACAGACCAGTTGTTGAAATTCTTTCCGTTCAACTTTGGAAGTTGTAATTGAACGGAACTGGTGGATACCATTGCTAGCTCTGATACCAATTGTAGGAACCAAAAAAGGATATAGAGAAACTTTGAAGATAATGGTGAAAAGCACACAAATACACAAACGAGAAAGAATAATATTCAAAATGCCTTTTGCACAGGCTTTACACAGAGGAATACAAGCGTAATTCTACAAGCTTTTTCTCACAACTCTCAACTCTCTCTTTCTATGGCTTTCCACACACATTCTTACACAAATAGGGAGGGGATAACCTATTTATACTACTTCTAAGGAAATTTTCTTGAATACCAAGTTTGTATCATCTTGAAGACCAAGTTTGTCAAACTTGAAGACCAAATTTGTATTAAAGACAAAAACAATTTTATTATTTCTAACATGGCCTTCGTCAAAGTCAAACCAGCAGATCACGTGAGTTGCATCGAGCAAAGTCCTTGGCTTTGCCTGGCTGGGACAACGCACTGCTTTCATGCGGTTTGGGTCAGTCAGCCGCGATCGATGACGAACTTGAGAATTAAGGCATCCATTGTTTTGTTACTCCCTAGACATGCATATAAATGTGGTTAGGTGTCTTCCGCCTATTCTGCACCTAAGAAAGCCACAAAAAAATATGGGAAGATGCCTCGAAACAAGCAGAGTACTGAAGAGGGGAAGGTCGGTTTAAGCTGCTTAGGATGTACTACTATTAGTCAACAAGAGCAAGCGACGTAGCGTTGCGAACGAGGGTTACGAGAAGATGATGCGGGCATACTAATCTTGTGGCCTTTTCCTTGTGATTCTCTTGGAAGGGAAAGAAGGAATCATTCTCCTTTTAGGGAGGATCACGGTGTTATGTTTGACCGGTCTTTGTTCGTTGTATCTACATGTCTACCTTGGCTCCACGTTTGACTTGTTTATTTAATGACGTTTTTGCGTATCAAGAGGACCAGAAGTTCACCATTACAAGTTAAAGTAACTCCATCCCCCACTGTCCACTTGGGCTACGTTTGGTAACCCGAATTTAAGTCCGAATAGAATAACAAATTATAGATTTGGTGACATTCTCCACTGAATAAATCCAGATACATCCGGATAAAAATGCTAGATAAGAAATCCGGCCTAGAGGTGGGATAAACTCGCCGACATCGCCTACCTGAGGACCACTGCCAAATTTACCGATCATCATCACTTCCGACCACCATATGATCGTTGTCGCCTCCGACCACGTTAGTCGTCACTGCCGGCCGGCAATCGTGTTCAACAAGTGAGGGTGAAAAGGGGCCTAAAGACAAGGGTCGTGCCGGGTTTATATAGATCATCCTTTTTACTCCAGTTGCATACGTCCTTTACATCGAGCTTGGCCTTTCATGCACGACTCACGAGCTGGCTATTCCCCTGATGGTCAATGAAGAACGGCTAGTGCACCATTAACTTATTGGCGACCATGCTCTTGAGCGTCGAGTTCCACATGTTGTGCATAAAAAATGCTGCAACGGCACAGTAGTGCAGAACCTCCCCTGCGAGCCCATCTCATGATGCACACCTTCTTTGTTGTCACCTCTCTTAGCGGCTTTTTTCAGCAATGGAGTCAGCCCATACGACCCACAAGAAATGCCTCGCGCAATGCACAAGGCAATCCTAAAATCACGTGAACTCGTGTCTATTGAAAGACCTCATGCTCCTGAGGTTGACTTCCCAATGATTGGTTGAGAGAGTTTGAGTCTCATGTACGGGAGGAGAAAAGTCAATGATGGTATTTTTAAAGATTTTCAAATGAGAATGATTTTCAAAGATTTTCAATTTTATCTTCGATTGCAGATTTTCGAAGATTTTTAAAAATTCCAAATCATATCTTAGGTTGCACCAAACATATGATATTTTTATAATCCGAAGATATATGGAGGATTTCAAATCCCTTTATCCTATCCTATCCTATCCTAATTTGAATCCAGATAACCAAACACAGCCTTAAAATTTCAGACCGGTTGGACTTCACTAGGGACCATTGGATGTAGAATCCAATTATGATATAGTTTCACGGTGATGAAAACTCCATACGAAACGGAGGCTTCTCCATTAGAAGTAAACCTAATCATGCCTCTGGCTCAAGCCCTCCCATGCAAAAATGGGCCCGAAGAGCATTCTCGGATTGGTTCAGATAAGTCTATATAGCTATGAAGCCAGCCCAAATCAGGTTGAGCTCGAGCCAGCCCAGACCGTGAAGGAAAAAAATATTTTTCATGGGCTAGTCTCGGCAACAACTCAGGCCCAAACTAAAGAACCGATCAGGCCTGCTGATTGAAAAGCAGCTTCTTTGTAACTTTATTATTGCTCGTTGTGCTAAGTTGCTAACTCATGATTTGACATTCGGAGTTTAATGCGTACCGCCACTTTTTCCCGGTTCAATGTAGGAACGTTGGAGAATAATTTGATCCTTTTGCTCCATCGAGAAAAGAATTAAGCAATTCCACTGAACACCTTCGATCAACTAGGGAAGATGACCGAACGTTATTGCCTTCAAGGTGAATAGTTGCGGTCGACATATACAGTCCGGTTTTATATTTATTAGTCAAGCAATACGAGTTTGGAGGACTCTCAACTTCTTAAGTTCTAAGCATAATGAAAACCCAGTGTCCACGATCAAGATATTTCTTTTTCAGTTAATATGTTGCAAGTACAGCAATGATGCATGCTCAAGCTAAAAGTAGGTATAAACATGTGCACGGAATAGAACCACATGATGTGAATATATTGCAAGTACAGCAACGATGCACACTAAAGCTAAAACGCAAGGATAAACGTGCACAGAATAGAACCAGATGATGTGAAATTCAACCTTAATTCAGTTAATTGGGCTAAATAAATTATACCACGTCCTTTTATTGTTGTAATGAATTGGCACCTACAAGTTCAGAGTCAATGGTGTGGTGCAACTGATTCCCACCAAAAATAATAGGTGTCAAGCTGCGCGCCTCAATCATTTAATTGAATCAAGAGTATGGGAGACTAATTGAACCATCCGTTGCCTTGAATGGTTAGCATCCTCCACATGGACCTTCCTTTAGCGCTTGCCATTGGCAACATCACTTGGAAGATCAAGACCATCAGGAATTTTCCCTGGATAGTTAGTCCTGGAGGCATCTGATCCTGTCATCCTGCAAACAGCGAACGGAATCGAGGGACCTGTGTATAAGTTTCAAGAAATATCTCATAGTATGCTTTGAGCGCATCATGCTTACCCTCTATCCACAATGACAACTGAGCGGAGTTCGCAGTTCGCAAAGCTGCAACCACAGATAAAATATCTTTTAATCAGTCCGCGACATAAAAGCTCCCACCTATCCTAAAAATAAAGTGCTACATCATATCAACTCCACTGCTAGGCTAACTAGGATCATGTGCAGTTCACCAACAAGATTCATTCGTCACAAATATATCATCATTTTCATCATCCTAATCTGCTACAAGTACCACCATCGGAACTGGTAGTGGTTGTTGCTACACAATATATAGGTTTGGAAAGTTCCACTAAGAAAAAAGAGAAAGCTATGTAATGGCATTTTAGTGAAGCAATAAAAAACCGTGTAGAGCCTAAAAATACCATGTACATGGACAACTCAGAAGCTACAATCTCATCACACAAGGGGACACGACTTCCAATGTGTATTTATCAAAATCTTCTATTCATCAATTCCTATTGGCTCTAATATCTGTCTTGGATTATAAATCAATACATCACTTAATGCAAACATGAAGCAAGACCAAAAGAACAGAAGGTGGGACTTTGTTGGCAATCAGCATAGGTGGAAATATATTTACGCAAAACTTCATCACCGAAACCGAAGATAATACGAGGGAAGATAGAGATCCAGCTTCCCTATTGACTGATGGGCATCACCCATCTACAATAAAGTTTTTCTGCTTAACAAACAGTTATGGTATGATGATCAAGCAACACACTCAACAGTGGATAATCAGTAATCACTGGGCATACCATAAAACCTCCAGAGTACTTTTTTGGGAACAATCTTAATTTCGCGTCATTCACTCATTAGAAATATATTCAGAAGGGAGACAATATGAAGGACCTAATGTAAATAATTTCTCAAAACAATAATGCAGAAACAAGTCAGTCAGAACACTAAAACATTTCTGCGCTCCCAATTGTAATTAGAAACACAAAACCATTGAATAGAACCAACCAACCAAATATGAACTAGGAAACACTCACTGTTTGCACATTTCACTCTTCACCGATGGATGACAATCATTTCCAAAGGTGCTGAGGGCATGAAACAAGAATCCACTGTGGGTAACAATTGCAATCTCCTTCTCTTCCCGTGTCCACAACCTGAAGATAAATCAAAACCTTGAGATGCAGAATCAAATGGCTTATTTCAGATTTTTACTTTTTACATAGCTGTTCAGCTATTTTCTTCCAAGATCATACAAGTTTCAAGTCTATTTTGCATTGTAGTTCATATTCTAAAGCACCGAGCAGGAAGTTATGAAGTACCAGTTCAAGAACTTCATTCCTCGAACAGCAACTTCCTCATTCTTTTCTCTAACATCAGGCGTCCACAAGACATCATCTTCATTCTCAATCTAAAGAGAGTTAAAATCAAAGTAAAAAACTGAGATTAGCTAATGTTGAGACTTCCAAAGCAAATGCCCCAAAAAAAGCATTTTAAGAAATGAAGCACTTACCAATGAAAAATCAATTGCAGGAAAGAGCGACCGATACTCGCTAATGCTTCGTCTTTTGTCACAAGGATGAACTCCCTATGGACCAAAATATAATTTTTAGCAACTTGAAGCATGCAAGGAATGTTCAATACCAAAACAAGATGATCCACAAAACACAGGCAAGAGTGAAATTCTACAATTACTAGCAGTAAAATGTCTGCATCTTTGTCTTGCAATAACTTCTCGTAGTTCTAAATGGAGGTTAATAAGTGACCAAAAAAAATGGAGGTTAATTATATGAGGGATCATTCAGCTTGGGGTTTTACCACTATACTTTGCAAAGTCATGCAATTATGACTACTCTGTTTCTAGTTGGTCCCCATTTTCAATAGAACAAGATATATTATGCCAATATGCAAACTCAATTTGACAGAACATCTGACTCATTATATACATGACATGACAAGATAGATAGGACATTTTTCAACAAGATAACATGATCCATGGTACAAGATCTGCGACCAATCTTATGGATTTTGGTGCTTGGGTGAAAATCAGTACGCCGTGTGAGGTTACCATCATGCCACGTCATGTTAGGTCATCCACTTGTGCTAACACATCCATCATCATCAAAATTCAAATGAAACACAAAGAGAACGGTAGCAATCAAATGATTTTCTATAGTGGTAGCCATAATATAAACTGAATTTCAGATGCACAAGTGAAAATTGGCTAAAGTTGAATGATGTATCATGGTATCCACCGTTCTAACTGCTAAAAGGAGGAACCTGTGCAACATGAAGAAACTGATCCTTCTTCAACTACAAATATGTAACTATTGGTCATCTTTAACAAGATAAGAAGTCCTTGGGTTGAGAACTACATTTAAACATAAGCGAGATCAATCAATTTGCTAAAGAAGAATCAGAACTCATCCTAATAAGCATGAGCTTCCTTCATACTTAGGAAGGTAACTACAAGTAAGCATCCTTTAATCTCAAATCAAGGAGAAACAAATACTCTGAAGTATGATCCTAATAAAGCCAGTGGTATAAACAGCTGTACTTCCACATGATATCCTCTTTAAAGTTCACAAAATTATCATACCAGTCAAGGGCAAAGGCATATTCTTTTTCTTATGTCTAATCCTTATCCGATACAGATATACTTGTGCATATTAAGAGTCAATAGATTAAAGATTGTAAGCTGTGAATAGAATGCAACACAAACTGTAAAGTGCACTGAGCCCATTGCAAATTCAACTGCAACCATTTAATAATGGGTACAGCAAGAAGGATAAAAACTACCAACATTTTCCAGAGACTAAAGTTACAATGGTGGAATGTCCACACAAAATGCTTCCACTGAATAATATTGTGAAAAACCAATCAAAATTCAGGATTTTGTGAATCATCTTTTTATTCCATATGTAATCACATACCAAATGTTCACGACAAAGTTCTACGGCAATAAATGGTGGGCAATTGAGACTTGAAATAGCAGGATGATCGCTATTCCCTGCATTTGCAACCATCAAAGGAGGTGCAACTATTCCATCTGTATCACCTTCACCACCAAAAACTCCAACAGCTGTTTGCATAGTTCTGCAAGTGATCACATAAAAAGTGTAAAAACGGTATTTAAAAGAACTTCAAGTCCAAATTTTGAACCATAGCATGCCCCTCATGCAAAGGCTAGTAGAATGACAAGTTAACAACTTAAAGAATGCGGACCCAAAACATGTGGACAAAAGAATAATCAAAACCCATAACATAAAAAGAACAAAAACTCATAAATGGTAAAAAGGAAATGCAAGGAATTCACCATCGACATTCTGACATATGTTGAACTGATTATGCATCCATTTGATATTAAAGTTTAAGCTATTGGAAAATGACACGGTTTATTTTCATTATCTTCACACTTTGCCCCATTGGCCCATTCTCCATCAGATAAAAAAGGATACACCATCCTAAATTTACCTGAATTACACTCTTCTCTTATGTTGTAAAGGAGGTTGTCTCATTGAAAGTTTCAATACAGTCATTCATGACAGAGGACCTCATGTCTCAGGTGCCTCCAGCAACCAACTTCCAGGACTCATATCAAAGCCCTATTGACTTATTATGAAGGCTTAAATAGTAAAGCAGCCAAGTGTAACAAAACAACTAAAACTCGCATCCTATGCAACAGAGAAGAAACGTTACACAAGAATTTAAGTCCTTAACAATTTAACACACCAATTAATAATATAAATCACTATCGAAGACAATGCTATCTGTAAGAACTTATGAAAAGATAAGGCAAGAGACAAATTTGAAGCCAATCACAGTACCTCAACAAAGGGGAAGTGATGACAAGATCAATCTTCTCGGGAAGTCCGCATGCTCGGACATGCTTGCGCAAGTTGCTAACCTATCACCGCATCAAGAGATCATTAGAAAGTAAACCAGTCCAAACAAACTGCATAAAAAAGAAAAAAGCACCTGGAACTTTTTCTAACAGAATTTAGGACATTATAAAAAGAACAAGACAGCAAAGCCTTCTCAGTTCTCACACTAACTCAGGTTGGCTATGTCATTGTTGCCCCACCTATAATATTAATATCCTATCCAAGACCAACTTGTTTCTAAGCAAGTTCTTACGACAAGACTATCGCGTTTGTCATTTTCAGGGAAGCAACTTAATTCCTAATGACAAACCCAATAAAATACAATCTAAAAGAGAAATTCCACTGTTAACATATGTATCATTTAAAGACAAACAGGCCACGGGCAAAAGTGACCACCTGCTGCCAGCCGACAGGGGTGAGATGAGCATCAAAGAGATCATACGACAAATAGGCATCGTGGTTCTTTTCTCCTTCCACGTTATGAATTCCTTGCGCATGCCGAACCTGTACGTCAACCGTCACGTCAGACCCAAAAATGCTCGACGCCTACGAATCCGCCTCTACGCGCATAAAGAAACCCAAAACACCGCAATGCCACGTACCAGGTGAAGCGTCTTGCACCGGTGCAATGGGTATAGCCCTGTCACTGCAGCATCCATATCTGTAGCCAAAGGAAAACAGAGCATCGACAAAAGTCAGTTTCATCAAACGGAAATGACGATCACGCCAATTTCACCGCACTAGAAACCGAAGCGCCATCGTCAGAGTCCATCAAAATTTCAGCTACAGGCAACAAACAAACATCATCACCAATGGAATGACAAGCGACGAACACAACGCGTAGCGCCAAATCTCTTCACACCACAAAAAGGAAAGAAAGCGGATCCGTCTCGCGCAAGCAACTTCACTACCTAAATCCAAACTCCACAAAACCAACCCCGCACCGAACCGCCAAATCCAAGCGAACGGAATCGTCCGAAACGGATCGAATCACGCGCCATCCATCACCAACCCAAAACGAACAGCAAACGCAGAACGCGAAACGGACCAAAAAAAAAGGAACTAAAAGAGCGGCTCCAGGGAATCATCAAATCGCGAGACGGAAACGATGGGATCATCAGCGAACGGGCTTTACCGGCAGGAGGTGGGGAGGAGAGGGAAGAGCGGACGGGGAGGTCGAGACGACGACGGCGCCGCCGCCGCGGCTGCTGCTGCTGCTGCTTCGGAGCGGAGAGGTTGCGAGGGAGGAGGAGGACAAACGGAGGAGAGGAAGCGCTGCGCACGGAGGCCGGGCGCAACAACGACGAGGCGTCGCTACTTGTACGCCCGCCAGGCGGCGCACCACAGTGAATCACCATAGCCGCGGCCTTTGCGTGCGCCGTGCGCGATTAAATATTCCTTTTTTTTTTTATCGCCCTATTATTCGGGAAAAATAGAAAAATATGTATATATAAAAAAAAGCTTTTCGTCCTTCGAATCACGTGACGAAAATGCAGTTATTAGGCGGGGTGGAAATGGCTGCCAGACCAGCCAACCGACCCACATGGCGTGTCGCCAGGGGAAGTAAAGTACCCCGAATTCCCTGCCATCCGTAGATCCACGTGGCGCCGTCCCGTCCATCCGCGCGGGCGGGATGACACGTGTCGCGACGGATCTGGTTGGCCCTTCGAAACGCCACGCGGCGGGAGACTTTTGAACCGTGGGGAATATTCGGCGGATCGGATCGGCGGCCGACAGAGACCCTCCCCGTTCCTAAAGCTTTCCCCGATGCCCCGATGCTCCCGTTCCTCCGCCGTTCCCGATCGGGATATACCCCGTTCGGTAGCGGGTGCGGTGCCTATGCTGATGTCCTCGGGGGGTCGCTAAAACCGGTCGCCCCGAAAAAAGTAGGTCCTATGACCCATCATCATGGTATTGTAATACGTACGCGAGCCATCCGATAAGTAACGCGAGTTACTAGTTGTGGTGCACATTGTGCACCCATTGTGGCAAAAGTGAATTACTCGATTCTGTACGTTACCGGGCTCGGCCGAGCTGTTTCGAAGCAAAAATGATGTATCCTCGCATATTTCACAAAATGAAAGCAAACCTTATTTCCGAACAAAAGAAAAGCGAAAGGATCAAAGTCTAAGACACCGCTTTCCAAGGAATTTAGCCACAACAAGAAGTTACCTCGGACCTTCCCCCCCGCAAAGAAAGTGAATGCGCAGGAGCAACATGACAATTGTTTTCTAAATTCGAACAGCCGCCCCAACAACATTAGCTTCCTTCTCTCACTTGTCAGCTCATTGGCTGGGGTGAAGAGCAAAAAAGGAACTTTCGACATTGAAAAACCTCACAATGGGAGAAAAAAAAGGACCGAGGAATAAGGCGGAAGAGAGAATTGAGAGATTTGTGTACGTATACAGGGTTACTTATTTATAGGCTTTGTTAAAAGATTATATAAAGTAACACGACAATATCAATCATAATCGATTGGGTATAGACACAATCAATAGAAACATATAAACAATTCCGAAAGATGTGGAGAATCAAATGACATGTTCTAGAACACATTATAGTCACACATGCATAGCATCTTCAGATATATGCAACGCAAAAGGAGTCACATTTCTCTATTATTGGGATATATATCGGCGTTTCGTCAATGCCATTCAATCACAAATAGGCACATGAACTAAGCGAAAGAAAGAAATGCAAGAATTTCGTGCATTCAGCAGTTTCTATACACTACGAGGAAGGTGACTAGTTAGGGCAAAGAAACGCGTATACAGATCCCCTTTTCCCGACTTACAATAACGATTATAATTAATCATGAATATAAACAATAAAGGGAGATACATACAGTAAAGAGAGATACATGAAATTGCCTAAGTATCTCAAAAAGCCCCCTCGAAATTCACCGGGAGCTGTCAACCGGAGCGTGGAGAAAAGATAATAAAAAAAAAACGCGGTCTCAATCTTACCCCATAAATCGTAATCTTTCGCTCCGTGGGTTGATTTCAGTAAACATCCATTTAAGTTTTCAAAAAGCACGGCCACCAATCACCCACTCTCTCTTTCTCTTTCTCTCTCGACAGGAAATTGAGATTTCGTAATCATGGCCGACATCCGGTGTTTGACTACGATTTTGTTTGTGACGATGAATCACGCGTTGGTGGGAGGGGAGCTTTTCTCAAATCGTAAATGAAGAAGAACGCAGCCAGAATAAGGAAAAACACGGTCAAATCGAATGAATAGCTCTAGTTTTTCGTTTGCGCCTACCATTTGTCTAATGAAACTCTTGATTCTGGTTCAACGTTTCGGGTTTCCATTTGTTTGGTTTGGTCGATTTAAACAACGGAACACCGTAATGAACGGTTTAATTTACGAGTTTCCTATTCTTGTAGACATGAATATTTGTGCATAAATCGTAATCTTTAGTTATAAATAGATGTAGAAAAAAGTACCAAAAGAGTCATAAACTTATTATATTGATACCAATTCATTCACAAATTTTTCAATTGGACTAATTTACTCATAAGCATTTTCACATTAGTGTCAATTCAGTCCATTCGGATAATTTAGACAGGAAATTATTGACTTGGACGCCAGCATTGACGTGAACAATTTTCTAGATTTTTTAAACGTTCTTCTAAACTTTTTATTACTTTTTTTTTTCCAAGTTTGGGCCGGTGAAGTCACCGGCCGACTCTCGCCGGCTACAAGCCAGTCAATCCGGGCGGACGGGAGGGCACGTGTCTCGACGGTCTGGAGGCCTTCGAATTGGACCGGGTGGCAATATTCGACGGATAGTGTTGGCATGGAAGTGGGTCCTGTGTTTTTCCTTTTAAGCTTTTTCCACGATGCGGATGCCTTTATTCGCCATTCCTCCCGATCTAACGTCCGCGTTCCGTTTCATGGAATCCTAAGAAGTGGACAAATTTCATTCGGTCTCGCGTCCGCCATTTGTATCACCAATGATGGAGCTGAAGTGGATTGTGGATAACGCCACATTGGATCGTGGGTATGATACTTCTGCTTATGCTCATGCTCATGCTCATGCTCAGAGAAAAGTAAGTTGGTACAGCGGCAATGATAAGTGCCCAAGCCATACTATATGAAGTGAGCGAGTCGGATCGGATCGAAAATGGTCTAATCCGAATTAACTCATTGAACTCGTATCGACCCATTTTTATGTGATACAATTTTAGCTAGGGGTGTCAAAACCAAACACAATACCCGAACCGAAACACGAACCGACCCGACCCGACCCGAACATGAAATTTTCTTATTGGGTCGGGTTGGGTCTCAACTTGTTTTGGTAACAATAAAAAAAATTGGATGTTGTTTGGATCTATTAGGCTTGGGTACCCAAGCCCAACCCAAACAAGAAAACCCAAACAAGAAACCCTTACATCTCTCTTCCACATCTCTCTCCCTCTCTCACCTCTTCTGCGATCTCTTTTGCAATCTCTCTTCCATGTCTCTCTCCGCCGCGATGGAGCCGCCGCCGCCGCGACCCTCCGCCTCCTTGAAGCTCCGCTTCATGTGCAGCTACAGCGTAGGCGTGGCCCCACGCCCCCATTCCAAGTCCCTCTTCTACCACGGCGGCGAGACCCGCATCGTCACCGTCGACCGCGCCTCCGCGACTGCCTCCCCCGTCTCCCCCACCCTCGCCGTCGCGCCCCCCTTCGCCCTCAAGTACCAGCTCCCCGACTCCGACCTCGACGCCCTCATCTCCCGCTGCATCGACGACGACCTCGCCGTCATGATGGACGAGCTCGACCGCCTCTCCTCGTCGTCGCCCTCATCTCCGCCGCGGGCCTCTCTCCGTCGCCGCCAACACCGGTTGTCTCCGCCTCCTCGTGCTCCGATCTTCTCGTCGGTCGGTCGCTCGCTCTTCTTTGCCACGCCTCATTCGCTCTCCGCGTCCGTCCTGTCTGCTCGTCGGCGCTCTGCCTCCGATCCATTCTGCTCTCGCGGCTGCTCGTCCGCGCTGCTTCGTCGCCTCTCCGTCGTCGTCGCGACCTTCGTCGTCGTGATCTGCTCCGTTGCCTCTGCTCGCTGAATCTCGTCGCGATCTGGTTCGTCCTATCCGTTCCTGTTTTTTTCTCCTTCCTTTAGGTAGGATTTGGTTGTTGATCACGGAATTGAATCGATATATGCACTAGCTCGTACACTGAGTGGCATTTGGAGGCGTATGTTCTTAGCTTCAGCCGTTAATTTTCCTCTTTGCTTCGTAGGATTTGTGTTCATGATGCTTAAATTTTCTTCCCTCGATAAGAAAACGATCTCATAGTTCGAAGCTCCAAAATGTGGAAGGAGCAAGTCCACAACGATCCCTCATACAGATTCTCTTTGCATATGTCTCACCGATTCTGAACGAATCATCTATAAGCCCTCTATAGATGTCCCCACCAAAACAATGAAAAGATCGATGTCTCCAAACAATGAAAATTGATGTCTGATCAGCAACAATGTACATCTCCAAATCTAGGATTTTTCGGTTCCTTCTGGCCAAATCGGCAAGGGATCCTCCGATTATGACACAGCTCAGCAACCTCTGTAGATATCAACCTGCAACCATCTTGGAAAAGAACACTGGCAATGACTCTACTTTCAAGAGGATCAGATTCCTCATGTATTTGTTTCTTTCATTCCACTCCACTCCACGCCAACTTTAAGAGTGTATCCTTCATACTTTGCCTTAATGCACTGCAGAGCCTGAGGCAATTCATCCTCCCGGACTCCAATTCATACTCCCCTCTTTCCAAAACACGAACCCGACCCGACCCGAACATGACCCGAACCGACCCGATTGTGTGGCTATATCATGTTCAGGTCTTGTTTCGGGTCGGGCCAAGCACACATATTCATTGTTTCTGGTCGGATCGGGTATCATGAAAACCCGACCCGACCCATTGACACCCCTAATTTTAGCGACCTAAACCGGACCTAACCCAAATCCGATCCAAACCCAACCGAACCCATATTACTAGAAAGCATCCGTATCTATACCAAAACATTTAACCTACTTTAAGCTCTAGATAGATTTTTTTTTTGTCAAATTAAAAAAATTAACTAAATAAAATCTGTTAGTAAATAAAAGTAAAAACATAAAAAAAAACCTAATGATTGAAATGCATGTAAAGAACTAGAAAAGTATGCATGTGTTGTGACGAAACATACAATAAAATTACCCAAAAATTCTTAAACCTATTACATTTGTGTCAATTCAATCATAAACTTTTCAAATTTGCCAATTTAGTCATAAATCTTTTAATGATTTCTCAATTTAGCATTTTTATCAATTTTGACCGGAAATTGCTGACGTGGACATCGGGTCATACCACGTAGCCTAGTCGGGGATGACGTGGACAATTTTTATAATTTTTTAAAAATTCAGAAGTTTTTATAATTCTCT